CCCCCCCCCAAAATAGAGCTTCTCTCATCTTCCTGTATCTAAATGCTCCAGATAAGGCATCTCTTATACCAACCTGGGACTGACAGTAATCAGTCAGTCCTAAACTTTTCCTAAACTGAGAGGCTTCCATGACAATTCCCCCAAATTTTAACTCACTGATTCACCTTAAGAGTTTTTTCCGGGGTGGCGCCTATGGCTCAAAAGAGTAGAGCACTGGCCCCATATGCCGTAAGTGGTGGGTTCAAACCCAGCCCCGGCCAAAAACTGCAAAAAAAAAAAAGTTTTTTCCCAATAAGCCAAATGGATTCCTAAGTATCTGTCACACATGCAGTTCCTTTCAGTGGCCCATGGACACCTAGGCACATTATTGGGAGCAGAAGGCAAGGTAGGAACACCTTTTGAGTATCTAGTCATGGGAGTAACAAATGGTCGTCATCTTATTTATCAGGTTGCTAGATGCATGCTCACCTTGGCATAGCCAAAGTTGAAATTGATGGCTTTGGCATGTCCAATGTGCAGAATTCCATTGGGTTCTGGTGGGAACCGGGTACGAACCTGAAATAAGGGGGATGGGAGCAGAGGAATGAGGTCATAGCTCAGACTACACTAAAACAGAGGCCCACCACTGGGGAGGCCAGGGTGATGGGTGAGACAGGGGAGCATGGGGTTAGCCCAGGCACTGAGGCAGATGTTCCACGGTACTAGCTTGCCTGGCCACATTCCAACACAAACAGACCTGTCCACCAGTGATCTCCATGTGCTGCTTCAATAGATCCATGGTGTGTGTAGTGGTCACATAGCCTGGAGTCTTGTAGTTCTCACCTGACAAAACCATAATAAGCCTCAGAACCAGGTTGCAACCCCAGGCTTCTGACCCCAGAGGCCTGGTTATAGGAGTTGCTGCCAAGATCCATCTCTCCCCAGGGTTCTGACATGCCTCCTCACCAGGCTTATGGAACTTAAGGGCCTCTCCTCGGAGCTGCTCCATCAGAGACAGTGTTTGGCCAGCACCCTCACCTATAGGAGTTAAAAAAAACAAAACAAAACAAAACAAAAAAACACTTGTTGTCTGGATATAGTTACCCATCCAGCTCAAGGTGGTTCCCATCACAACTACCCATATCCTGTAACCAGAATAAAACAGCCCCCTCTTCCTCCACTTCCAGAGATAAAAGATACAGAGCCAGACACCTGAAACCTCTTGGACCAGTCTCCTGGAAAAAGGAACAAAGGAAACACTAGGAACCCCAGTCTTCAGGCAGAAGGCAGAGTGTTGAGTAAGCCAAGGGCCCAAGCCTGAGCTGTAAGGACCTTTCAGGTGAAATGCCTGGAAGTCAAGAAGCTGAATGCTATGATGGGAGCCTCAAGCTTCTCACCATTCTCCATCGCATTCTTTGCTGTCCTCCGGTCTGTTTCTTCTAGCCGAGCCTTTGCCACCTGAGAGAAGCCCCAACACTGACTGCATCAGAATTCCTCCTGGGTAGGGTCTTGGAACTTGTCTCACTGGGTCAGGCAATCCCTTCCCAACCTGAAGTCTCACCCTACCCCACTTCACTCTCAGGGACCCGGGGCCATGCCCAGCCCCACCTTGGGCTTCTTCTCCAGATCAGACTCCATCTTGGGACCCAGAAGGTGGAGGACCTGAACAGAGACCAGAGTAAGGCAGAGACAGGAGTGTCCTCTTTCAAGAAACTCATGACTGATACTACCCATCCATCTACAGGCTTCTTGGCTTATCTGCCTGCACTGCCTGGGAAAACCTACCCCCATTCTACCGCTTCTCCATATATGGTTCTGCCCCAAATGTTCTCTCCCTCCTGAAGGTCTATACTGGGCCCAGGTAACAAGGGCTGTCATATACAGAAGGTAACTGTGGGCCCAGCATCAAGACCTGCATCTTGCCTTGGCCATCACCTTTTGTGATTCTATATCACCCCTACTTACGGGATGAAGAAACATTTTCAGAGTAAGTGACAAAGGCCCAAGTCAGGAGCTGCCCATGCCACACGGAAGTCTACTATCCACCACCAGAATAGGGACAGGGTCACTTCCCCCCTTTTATCCCTCAGTGCTTTTCCAGGTCCTGTTCATGCCAAAGTCTTTGCCAGCTTCAGCTCAGGGAGGCACATACCTGCATGTCCACTTCATGCTTGATCATTTTGCCATCTGCCCACTTGAGCACAGCCCGAGCCTCTCCTAGAAGCATGGGCACAAGGAGCTGCAGAAAGGCAAAAAAGGCACTCCCCACCCTCCTTCCCAAATAAAGGTCCTGGCTGACCACAGGAACTAGAGCTTGGGCCCAGCCAGACCACTTTTTGGTTTTTGTTTGTTTTTTGAGACAGAACGTTGCTCTGTTGCCCAGGCCAGAGTACAGTGGCACCATCATAGCTCACTGCAACCTCCAACTCCTAGGCTCAAGTGATCCTCTTGCCTCAGCCTCCCCAGTAGCTGGGATTACAGCATGTGCCACCACACCCACCTAATGTTTTCTACTTCTAATAGAAACAGGGTCTTGCTTACTCAGGCTGGTCTGGAACTCCCAAGCTCAAGCGATCCTTCGACTTCAGCCTCCCAGAATGCTAAGATTACAGGTGTGAGCCACCATGCCCCGCCCAGGCAGACCACTTATAAGGTGCTCCTGCTCCCTTAACCACCTCCCTCTCACTCATGCCCCAAAGCAAAGGTATAACCAAAGAGAACATAGCCCTCGCCCCAGGCCCTGCTCACCCATCAACAACCCCATGTTGAAATGGTAACGCTCCACCAAGAGCTGTGGCCGATGCCTATTTATGGTAGCCTCCACCTGTAGAAAGCCAAACCATATGGTTCAGGAAAGCCTCTTCAGAGATGTTTGTGTTCTCATTCAGGATCTTCCTGGATAGAGAATCCAAGCCACTCTTTTCCATGGCCAGGACTAGGGAAGCACACAATGCCCAGGGAAAAACTCACAGCCTCTTCAATCTGCTCTGGGGTCACTGTGACACCCACACCACATTCCTGCTCAAAGTCCACAGTGTCGATGGGGTCCAGGGGGTGACTCCTCACATATTCAAGGGCAGCTGAGAAAAAAGAACCAATGAGTTTGTGGCATCTCAGCTCCAGGAGGTGCATAGACAGAGCCTTAATCCCATGAAACTTGCAGTACACTTTCACCTCCGGAGAGGTTGAGCTTTTGCACCACCCTACAGAAGCCTTGAGACCTCAAGAAGCATGTGGCTCTCCCTCAGACCATCACAGTTCTTGTCATTCTCACCACAGGCCACCCTCCTCCCAGCTTCAGTGCCTGTGCAGAACTAGGTCTCTAGAAAGAGACTGAAGGACTTGGTCTTGGCTGAAGTGGGGGATTGGAAGTAAAACTGACAGGACAGGCAGGGGTCTCACCACTCAACTGAGGCTCAGTGTGGATCTTCTTACTGGCTATGTAGTTCACAAGGAAAGAGAGACGCCGAGTATCTCTGAGTCGGGAGGCCAAGCTATACAACAGAGTCCCAGTAGCCTTATCGATGGTGGAGCCCAAAGTCTGCTGTGCCTGGGGTCAGAGGTGGCAGAAGAAAAGCGCCATGCCCAGTGAGAGAGGCAAGAGCGGGACGATAGATTGAGAAAGGGACCCAAACCCACGCGGCATCGCTGCACAGTTGGCAGCCCGAGCCAGGAGAGGAGCTCGCACCTGGGTTGCCGCCTTCCGCAACTGCGCGCTCAGAGCCGTATTCTTGAGTGTCTCGCGGGCCTTGTGCTCGCTCAGACCGAGGCCAGTGAAAAGCGACAGGGAGTCGAGAGTCGCCATTGCAAAGACACCGGAAACCAAAAGAAACTTCGGACCTAATCTGCACGTTCTCAGTCGCTCATTGACCAATAGAAAAGCGAAGCCTCCTAAAAGGGCCAATGATGTCCTTTCCTGGTAGGAGGGGGCGGGCTCTCCAGGGTCATTGACGCCATTTAAAGGACCCAAAGGTGACTGTTCGGTTTTTCCCGGCCATTTGCTTCCGCTTTCCTGGCTCTCTCGCTAGATGGGTTGGGAAGCAGCAGCGGCCCAAGAGAAGGGATGTTAAGCACCGCGGCAGGAAGAAGACATGGGCATAGGTTTTTGCTCTTTTCCTTCATCCTTGGGAACTCCATCTTAATACCGAAACTATTCTTGGGGCGAAAATGTGAATTTGAAGCCACAGCTTTGTAGTTGTTGTGGACAGCTGTCACAAAACGAAGCCGGAAAATCGCCGGTCCAGACTTCATGGCATAGAATGGGAGGAATGGCCAACATAGGGGCCTCATATGTCCCGCGCTTTTCAGGTGCCCTCTCAGGACACACCAGGCGAGGAGAGGAAGGGGGAAGGGTTTGGGTCAAGAGGGACCTCGAAGTTCTGTAATGATAGGTTTAAGGTCTCCTGCTACACTTACCCTCCTTGCCAAAGCATGCAAACCTCATCAAAAATCACAAATAAGACCTTTAAATCCATCTGCAGGACTTTGAGAAGATATTTCACTGAGGTTGGACGAATGAGATGAAATCTTCATAGTTATGGATACTGTGGTTGGGGATCTCCCCACAGTCTCAGTGGACTTTCAGGACCTGCTTGCTGAAACAACATACAAACCGTGTTCTCTGTGTGTTACGGGAGGTACGGGAACAAGCTACTGGTTGTGGAATGGTGGAAATCCCCAAATTTGGGATTGGAGTTCAGGCTCGTGGAGGTCTTGGTATGGCTCATACTTGTGGACCTTAAAGGACTGGGCAGGATCCTGACTAGTTTGTATCCATATCCAGTGCCCTTTATGCCCACATCCCACTAATGACCAAGCTCCATGCCTGGGTCCCACATGATGACCATATGCCAGGTTCTTCCCAGGGCCACATGCCACATTGGTATCCCAGTCCAATCCTGTATCCTGGGGTTCCCAGCCGTTTGCAGACTCAGGGCTCCAACCTGATACCCAACCCTAGGGTACACTGCACCAGGGGTACAGCATAGTGGTAGTATAGCATACACGAGTCCTTAAACTATGGCCCATGGGCCACATGCGGCCTGCTGAGAACATTTATCTGGCTGGCCAGGTGTTTTTGCTGCCACTGCCTGTCCTGCTTAGCAGCCAACTCGTCCTGGGGCTCACGGTCCGGCCCTCCAGTGGTCTGAGGGACAGTGAGCTGGCCCCCTGTTTAAAAAGTTTGAGGAGCCCTGGCTAGACAGACATAGAGAAGTACATCCAGGGCGGCGCCTATGGCGCAGGGGGTGGGGGGCTGGCCCCATATACCAAGGGTGGCGAGTTCAAACCCACCCCTGGCCAAACTGCAACAACAAAAAAAATAGCCAGGCGTTGTGGTGGGTGCCTGTAGTCTCAGCTACTAGGGAGGCTGAGGCAAAAGAATCGCCTAACCCCAGGAGTTGGAGGTTGCTGTAAGCTGTGATGCCACCGAGGGCAACAAAGTGAGACTCTGTCTCTACAGAAAAAAAGAAGAAGAAGAAACACATCCACACCCATACCAACCCTGTGCCAAGTCTGCAGTTGCAAGTGCCCAGCCAGTCTACCACAAAGGTACCTATGTTGAATACCACTCTGCAGTACACCTGCCAATGCAGCTATTTCCTCATTATCTTATGCCACCAAAGGATTCCTTATAGCAACATCCTACAACCAAGTCCTACAGGTCTGGTTTTGGCCTTCTCAACGGGGTCAAGGCCTGCACAACTTCCCTTAGTTCCTTCAGGGTACCCTGTGGACCTTGTGGTTCTATGTCATAGGATGAGGTAGTTGTCCCATCAATGCTGAGTGGTAATGCCTGGGACCAGTGGATGTCCATCCAACCCTCCAGAGCCTTGTGACTTGCACAGAGCAGAAATGTGAAATTGTACAGGCTCAGTCAGTCTGGAAATCAGCCTGCTGCCAGCACAAGTCCCTGGCACTGCTTCCAGGAATGTCAAGAGAAATATGACCAAGTGGAAAAACCAGGCAGCAGCCAGCAAGGCCCAGCTATGGAATGGGGAGAGGTAGGGTTTAGCAACCAAGCCTAGAGAAAGAACTGTAGCAGCTTGTGGCACAAGCTGACAGCATACAGGTAACACTGCAGTGCTGGTGACCACAGCAACCTTAGGCAGATGCCACAAAAGGGTACAGTGTGGTGGGCTCAGCAACACCAGAGCTGTAGTAAGAGATGGACAGAGGGCTGGATACAGTGGCTCATGTCTGTAATTCCAATATTTTGGGAGGCCAAGGTGGGATCATGTGAAGCCAGAAGATCAAGAACAGCCTGGGCAACATAGTGAGACCCTCATCTATAAAAAGTTAAAAATTGCCTGGCACAGTGGCTCACGCCACCTGTAAGCCTAACTCTCTGGGAGACCAAGGTGGGAAGATTGCTTAAGTTCAGGAGTTCAAGATCAGCCTAAATAAGAGCAAGACCCTGTCTCTACTAAAAATAGAAAAATTAGCCAGGCATTGTGGCAGGCCTCTGTAGGTGCAACTCAGGAGGCTGAGGCAGGAAGATCACTGGAGCTAAGGAGTTTGAGGTTGCTGTGAGCTAGGCTGACGCCATGGCAATCTAGCCCTGGTGACACAGACTCCATGTCAAAAAAAATTTTTTTCTTTTTAAATTAGCTGGGGGCGGCGCCTGTGGCTCAAAGGAGTAGGGCACCAGCCCCATATGCCAGAGGTAGAGGGTTTGAACCCAGCCCTGGCCAAAAATAAATAAATAAATAAAGGAAATTTAAAAAATAAAAATAAATAAGTAAGTAAAAATTAGCTGGGTGTGGTACACATGCATGTAGTCCTACTTATTCAGCAGGCTGAGGTGGGAAGATCACCTGAGCCCAGGAGTTGGAGGCTGTGGTGAGCATTCTAGCCAGCCAAATTGCTATTTAAAAAAAAGGGGCATCACCTGTGGCTTAGTGGATAGCGTGCCAGCCCCATATACCAAGGGTGGTGGGTTCAAACCTGATTCTCGCCAAACTGCAACAAAAAAGCCTGGGTGTTGTGGCGGGCACCTATAGTCCCGGCTACTCAGGAGGCAGAGTCAAGAGAATCACCTAAGCCCAGGAGTTGGAGGTTGCTGTGAACTATGATGCCATAGCACTCTACCAAGGGTGATAAAGTGAAACTCTGTGCCCCCCCCCAAAAAAGCCAGGTGTGGTGGCTCACACCTATAACCCTAACACTTAGGGAGGCTGAGGCTGGTGGATTGCTTGAAATCAGGAGTTGGAGACCTGCCTGAGCAAGACCAGGACCCTATCTCTACTAAAAATAGAAAAAGTAGCTGGGTGTTAAGGTGCATGACTATAGGCCCAGCTACTCAGGAAGCTGAGGCAAGAGGATCACTTCAGCCCAGGAGTTTGAGGTTACAATGAGCTATGATGCCAAGGCACTCTAGCCTAGGATAACAGAGTGAGATTGTCTCAAGAAAAAAATGGACAGAGAAATGCATTCAGCACACGGTAACGATGACCAGCACCCCCATGTACTTGGCTGCATAGAGTAAAGACCCAGCACAACCCTGTTGGCAGCTCATGCCTAACAGGCCCTCCAGCAGTATCATAGCTGTCAGCATCAGTACCAGGGCAGCAATTTCACCATTTCTGCAGGGTTTCACAACCAGGGGTCTTCAGACTTCTCTGAAGCCAGGAGCCCCACCAGAATAAGCCAACATTGGTCAGGGGGCTAGCTTTCTCCAGGAGCTCACTGCCACCCCTACAAAGCTGAAGCTGAGGATTACTAGCAGGGCCGGAATGTTAACTTCATGAACCCAGCCTTCATGAGTCTAGCCCCTAGCTTGGAGGCAGGGATAGACTGCCACCAGGACATGCCCCACCTCTCCCTGTCTGAATCTGTATCTGACTTCTCTAAGTATTTACCAGTGAGTACTTTTTTTTGTTTGAGAAAAAGTCTCAACAAACTGTCACCCTAGGTAGAGTGCCATGGTGTCACATAGCTCACAGCAACCTCTAACTCTTGGGGTCAAGTGATCCTCTTGCCTCAGTTTTCTATTTGTAGTGGAGACATGGTCTCACTTTTACTCAGGCTGGCCTCAAACTTGTGAGCTCGGGCAATCCACCCACCTCGGCCTCCCAGAGTGCTCGGATTACAGGTGTGAGCCACTGTGCCCAGCCTCTCAGGGACTTTTTTTTTTTTTGAGACAGAGTCTCACCTTGTCACCCTCTGTGGAGTGCTGTACCATCACAGCTCACAGCAACCTCTAGCTCTTTGGCTTAGGCAATTCTCTTGCTTCAGCCTCCCGAGTAGCTGGACTATAGGCACCCACCACAATGCCCAGCTACTTTTCTGTTGCTATTTGGCCAGGGGCAGGTTCAAACCCACCACCCCTGGTATATGGGGCCGGTACCCTACCCACTGGGCCACAGGCACCTCCCTCTCTCAGGGACTTTTTTTTTTTTGAGACAGGAGCCTCAAGCTGTCTCCCTGGGTAGAGTGCCATGGCATCACAGCTCACAGCAACCTCCAACTCCTGGGCTCAAGCATGTCTCCTGCCTCAGCCTCCCGAGTAGCTGGGACCACAGGCGCCCACCACAACGCCCAGCTATTTTTTTTTTTTGGTTGCAGCCATCATTGTTGTTTGGCGGGCCCAGGCTGCATTCGAACCCGCCACCTTGGGTGTATGTGGCTGGCACCTTAGCCACTTGAGCCACAGGCACAGAGCCACTCTCTCAGGGACTCTTAAAGGACAAAATAGGCTGTTAGGTCTCAACATACTCCCTCCAACAGGAACTCAGATAAGATTAGCTCTAGTCCTCTCTGCCTGTCCTCTTTTCAGAGCAGAATCTTCCCCACAGCAGTTTTCTTCCTGCTCTGCTCTCCCCTGAGGGATGTGTATGGTGTTGAAACTATAGCAAAGACAGACCTAAGA